ATAGCGGTTCAAGGAAAACGGGTGTATCTATCAGAGAATAAGGGGTGTGAAATTGAGCTTTACGAGAAAGGGAAATTCCAGACTTGGGCGAAATTGATCGTCATGTACAGTTGAGCAGATTTTCCGCTTAAAGGCAGCGGCTCGGCAGAATTTTTTTCCAGATTTTCACCTTTTCGGGGCTTCCTCGTCATGAGAAGCCCATATCTGGACTTTTCAGCGCATGAAAATGGCGAAAATGAGCTTTTTTCAAGCTTTCTAGATCCGAATTCAGTGAAGATACGCCGGAAAAAGACGCGCCCCGCTTTCCCAGTTCCACGCCCCGCCCACTTCTCCACCGAATGCGGACCTAGAAAGCTTCTGAAAAAGTTCATTTTCGCGATTTTCATGTACTGAAAAGCCCAGATAGGGGTTTCTCATGGCGAGAAAGCCCCGAAAAGTGAAAATCTGGAAAACAAAATTCTGCCGAGATAATGCCTTAAATATAGTGCGCTTGCGGTGCCGAGAAAATGCGGTGAATTTGCGCGTGAACAAATAGCTGCGTCTGAATTGCCGGCAATCTGAGCGCACAAAAATTTCGTGGTTATTTGTTTACGTGCAAATTTTACCCATTCTCGTCACCATAAATACACTATATTAAGCGGAGAATCTACTCGATTTCATGTACTAATAGTTGCCACACAAATAACTGAAAAATGACCGGATTGGTTTGACTGGCGGAAGCGAATTGAGCTTTTCAGGCAATAATTTGGCAACAAAGAAGAGGTAAAACTGAAGCTAAAATTTGGCTGAAAAAATGAGCGTCGCGAAGTGCCAAGGATTCAGATTTAGGAACTTCTGCATTACACTTGGTGGCTTTTATCACTATCAAAAAAGAGTATGCAAAAAATTTCTGCAAGGATGCGGGTTTATGCTTGAAGAGTGGAATTATTGAACACTCGTTTGACAAGTTTGGCGAATTAAGATCCAACCGGACTTAGAGAGCAGTTATTTTCAGCATATTTTGGGCAAGCGTTCAAGGAAAGACCAAATTAGATCTATGACTTATTAGTGTTGTGTCTTCTGTAGAGTTCTGGAATTCTCTATAATCATAGTTTGTTATCGGGAAAGTAGTTAATTCGGACAAAGGATTCTCCATCGCTGTTGTTATGATACGTATTGATTCGCAATTTATATTGGCTAGAATGAGAATCCACAAAGCACACAACAATCAAAGATAAGCAAAGCTTACTGACTCTGTCCTACGCCTTGGATAAGACGCATAAATCAGTTGATTGGAGTTTACTCGGTATCCATTGCTCGAATAATTAGGAACTTTTGATATAATATTCAATTGTGCAGCATTTCCAAGTTTCGATGGCTTCCTCTTTCTTGAAGAGTCCCGGGAAGGGCAGAAATCAAACACGACAAGGGAGGAAGAAACAGACCTCTAAATGGTTTGCTTCTCCTCTACATATCTTTAATTTGGGAAACCGCAAATTTCGTAATTTAACCCGGCACAGATGGACACACAGGCACTGGTCTTGAGACGAAAGTCAGTGGAAGCTGTTTTCGCAATCCGCGAACGCTACGTAGTACCGAGGGAGGGCGACTTTTCCTAGGCACACCCGTCAACTTTTGAAGGTAAGGACCTTTTCTGATCTGAAATCTTAAAGCATAATATGTATGTAGTCGTCCTCCCCCCACTAGTCGGTCGATGGTCGAATTTGAATTCTAACTGGAGCAGACCGGCTGCGGCAGAGCACGGCAGACCGCCCCTCAGTCAATTGCTTGCAGAGCTTTTTTCTTATCTTCTTCGTTCTTTGTTATCTCTCGTATTGCGGCAGTGTCCTTAATCAGACTTTCAAGTTCCTACCGCTAACTCTTTGAAACAAACACATTTTGAGAGAATCTCAGCCTTAATGCAAAAAAATAGTCTAGGTACTTATTCTAACAAAAAACTCGACACATTTCATCAAATCACATTTGTGTGTATGTCACATATCGGAAAAAAGAGATTTCTCATCCAAAAATCACCAATCGCATCCTTCTTCCCGGTTTACATGGAAAATGTAAAACAAACGAGCACAACTGCACAAAACAATATTTAGCGGTGCAAAATCTAAAAATCTGATAAAGATCACTGCCGCAATACGAAAGATAGCAAATTAACACGAAGAAAATAAGAGGAAAGCTCATGTGCAAGCGGTTGGCTGAGGGGTGGTCTGCCGCGCTCTGCCGCGGCCGGTCTGCTCCAGTTCGAATTCAAATTCGACCACCGACCGACTAGTGGGGTGAGTGACTATAAAGACCTTCTCAGACATTCGCGGTTGACGACCGCCGGAGATCCGCCCACTTTCGCTTTGTTTCGGGACAAAGTTGTGTCCTGCGGTTGTCCCGATTCACCGGCAATTGCGTCGGGATTGTCCCGACGCGTATCAATACAATCGATCGCCTGCATGCAGCGAGGATAGCCGGCTTCAAGCACACGTTCAAGTGTTCCGCCTGTTTCCTAAAGCTTCGTATATTCCCAGCGTTCATCGGCGTCTTCTTTGATTTCAAGTTCAGATTATCGGATTTCGGACTGCAACCTTCTGCTTCTGAAGTTTGAGCTCAGATCAGTCATCCTTCTTAGTACAAGAGCTTTGCTTCTTCGCGTCAAGTGTTGACAGTTGTTAAGGGGGATTTGTTTGTACACGATTTGTTTGTACACTTTCAGAAGAATTGCTAAAGGCAGAGTTTGCTGTATCTGCATGTTCAGCGCCCATAACGCAAAGTCTGGTACTTGTTTTCCTTGGACTGAACGGTTTTTGCATACAAATTTTTGTTTGTCATAGAGTTTCTTCCTCAAGTTCCATGCTCCTTCTTTTTGCATTTTTAGGGATTTTTCAACTCGCTGATTTTTTTTTATCTGTTCAGTGAATACCAAGTTTTGGGTCTTGTTTTGTATGGTGGATTCTTTTTGGGTTCAAATTTACTTCCCTCTTTAGGGTATCTAATCTTATACCTTTTCTATCGTCATAACCTCGAGCACCTGTCTCTTGAATTCGTTAACTCCCGGTTCCTCGTTTTGCTTTCTTTTCGAAATCTACATCGATCTTTTAAGATATTCACTACATTGGTGTCTTTATTGAGAAGATCGTTTTAGTTCTGCAAATTATAAAATAGAGTTGGGAGTAAAGTAAATAGAGTTAAAATAGAGTTCTTTTTACTTGTCTTTTTCAAAAAATAAATGTAACATTCCTGAATTTGGTGATATTACGCCGTATCTTGTTTGCCTGCATTTTGAACAATGTTATCTTCGTATCAAAGAGGTTATTTTCTCTCATTATGAAGGTTGATAACACACCAATTCTCGTTCTTTTTTGAAGGGCTTTGCTTTGTACAGCTATAGCATATACTTATCTAAATTTCCCATCGTTTTTGTTGCTTGACCGTTTTCTTGTAATCTAGTCGACTGTTCAGTTTCCTCCTCATTGCGGCAGCGGCCGCGTCATCCACTTTTGTACTCACAGCTTTACGAAGATCACCTTAGATATCCGAGGGCGCTTGATGTGCGTTGATGCTGGGCGCGTCGTCTCTAGACCCGTCGTCGTCAACGTCTCCGTGGCATTCTGCACCTACTGCTGTCGGACATCCATCTTCTAGTTCACAACCATCCAAGTCGGTACCATCCCCTGCGAAGACGGAAACGGACACTGCTACTTCAACCTCGCATGACGTCAAAGACGAATATTCTCGTGGGTTTCCTCTATTTTTCTTTGGTTGGCCTGATGTTTTGAAGTGTATTGCTTGTAGCACGTTATCATCTTTTGGTAGCGAAAAAAAAGATACCTCAGTTGTTTCTATCAATTCGGCATTTAGTTTTTTTCCTGTGACTGTATATCAAGTCGTTCCAAAAGTTCGATATTCGCGACTCTTTGCTTTGATGGCAAACAACAAAGTTGTTTCAACTTTTTTGGGAGCATGTTTTGAGATTAAGTTGGCAGATTTGCATTCAACAGCAGCTTAAAGAAGCTTTCTCTTTCTGAAAGATTGTTTTCAGCTGCAAATGGAGCAACGACAGAGAATGTTGATGCAGCAGCAGCAGGTCCAGGTTCAATCCTGGCAGTCATCAAGGAATGATGATGGTATGTTAGTTGGTTATGGTTACATGCCTTAACTCTACTGAGCGCTGTCTCTTCGTGAGATTTGTGATTCACTTTTTGAACTCAAAATCTAATGAAACTATCGTTGGTTTTATTATTACGAGGTGTACCTTCTAGTTTATCCTCCTCCATAGGTTTCGTCCGGCTCACAAAACGCTCCGTCCTTCAGCTGACACTTATTTAGCAAAGTGTAAAAAATACTTGCTACTAAATGCTTCCATTGTTCAAAATTCGTGTGCAGTTAACTTGAAAAGTAAGATCAGTTCTAGATTAGCTCGACTTCGAAGTGCTCGCCAGTCACAACAACGTTGAGGAATAGTGATAGATTTGAGCGATTATTGTAGAGCTTCAACAAAGAGGATGGGGAAGTGTAATGCTCCATCGGAAACGTATAAAGTTCGAAGTAGGCAAGTACTTACTACAACTACTTACTAGTACTTACTACTTACTACAGTACAAGTAGGCAAGTATTTTACTTTATCTTCGAATTCTTACTTTTTACCTTGTTCAGTCATCGTTGTCAATCTGAACTTACAACCATTTCGTATCTCTCTCTCTGGTTTTTTCGAGCCGTCTGGGTTGGTACGGCGTTGCTAATCTTCAGAACCCCCTAATGTGTTAAGAGTCACATGCATACTTCCATTAATTGTAGTTTTCTTATAGCAAAGATACTATTCCATTCAATTTCTCTAAGTCCAGTCTTCTACAAGTCTTGATTTTTGATTCTGTGCATTGATAGCGTCCCGCTGTACCCCTCTGAGACACAGCTCCATGTCTCACCTATGCCTTCTGTTTCCAATGTCGGTATGCCGCTTTCATCGGCGTCTTTCCTCATAGGCAAGTTTCCTTGAGACCACTTGAAGGAGTTGACTTCAAGTTTCAGATTTCGTCCTTGATGCAATGGGATTGTTCGGCGATGAACTCCTTTTACCACCCGCAGATTGCGCTAGAATTCACGGAAGGTAGTTTTCACCACGTTAATGATAAAAGATATCTATTGCCTTTTCAGGTACTGGGCTGCTCTGGGCGAGACGGAGTCTCAAAGAAGAAAAAGGTTCGATGCGCTATCCGAAGCGCGAACAGACTGGAGTACGCATGCACGCGAAGCCCTTTGCAGAGCATTGTAAGTATTTCATGCTTTATCTTACTCTGGTCTCGCCCGGGTGGGTGTAAAAAATTCCTGTGGAGGTTGCTAACATCCGCGTTTGTTTTCAGAGCCGACATTCGTCAATATGAATTCGATGCAGCACGCCTGACGCTCATGCCGCCCAAGGTAAGTTTCTCTATTCACAGCTTTGATGTCATTCATTCTTTTTCAATTTCAGAAAAAAAGAGTAATAACGACGCAAGAAGGAACAACGATCGAGAAAACGGAAGTCCGTGAGTCGCCTGAGGAAGATTGATCCCTTTTTTGTGTTTTCGCTCACAGATGTATGATCTTCTTGTTGCGAGAGCTTTGATGTTGATTTTCTGTTCTTGAGAGTAGATCTTTCTGTTTTTGCTCAGGAATGTATAATTTTGCTGCTGCGATTCTGTTGTTACGAGTTTCCTTATCATTTGTTATGGTTTTGTCGTTGAGTTAACCTAAGATGAATAAATCTCTGTTGATTCAGTCTCTGTTGTTTACATAGTATACAATGTATGCGAGAAATTTGAACAATATCAAGTGCGCTCTACGGCTAATTCCACGCCCCATGGTCGGTTCGGGACTCCTGCATTTCACCGCCGTTTCACCTGCGTTCGACCCGAACATGTGCTGCAGGTGAATCCCGAACCAAACGCAGGTGAAACCTGTTCGACCGGCGTTTCTCCGGCAGTCTTGTCCCGAACCAATAGCCGGATTATCCCGAAACAAAAGGATGTGTACCGCCTCCCTGAACTCCCTTTCACCGGCGGTCGTCAACCGCGAGTGTCTGAGTTAGCCGGTCTTTCTTTTCAGGAGGTACATTTGCAGGAAGAGCACCATTCCTAGGTCTTTATGTGTCGTTCAAACAAAAGGAAAGAGGATATAAGAACGGCTGGAAGTTCCCCCAAGAAACGCAAGAGATCGCTTCAGCAATCTCCTTTCTTAAACCTTCCATCGGAGTTGTGCATTCAAATTTTGAGACATTTGAGACAGGTTTGTGATCATGTTGGATTTTTCGGTCGTCTTGCGCTGGCAAATGGTGGACGTCTAGGCATGATTTTTAGGAATTAACCACTATGAACGAGGCTTTCGAAAAAGGAAAATTTTGAAATTTCAGTTTGGTGCCAGAATTGCTTAGGGGTGTTAGCTAATCATCAGGAATATGGAGAAAATTGTTACCTAGGTGTAGTTCATACACTGCGACAGGCTTTGTTCTGGAAAAGCAAAAACAAAGAGTTCGTACAAATGTCACTCCCAGGGAGAAAAGTTTTATCGTAGCAGTTTCTTCAACAACAAAAAAAGCAATTCCAAAAACTGTGGTGCTAAAATACTGTAACGTTTTTTGAGCTTAACAGTGCTTGTTGAAAAAGCCATATTGAGCGGTTTCTCCTATGAAATGGTGATTTTTTTTATCGATTTTTTCTTACATTTCCATGCGAAATCAAAGCCTGACATAGAAGGCATAAACTAGCTACAGTCGAATCATTTCATGTGATCATGTGTGCATTGCACACATCGTCCATCTTTGGCATCCACATCCGGGATTCAAAATCGCAGAAACGCAAGAGTCTCGCCGATTGTTGTGGCCACCTAAAAAGGAAAGAAAACATCAAGAAAACATCGAAAACACTCAAAGGGTTGTTTCCTCCAAGAACCCGGGATGGGAACGCCACAGGTGGACAGCGTGTGTAATGACACACATGATCACGTGAAATGATTCGACTGTATCTGCCCTCCGCAATTTTCTGACAACAAACGCAAAATCGCAAAATCCTTTTTTTAAAGCTTTTTGGTACAGCTCGTCGCCAAACATTTATCATGGAGCGCGAACCGTCCACTATTCCTTGAAAAGAAAAATGGCGATTAAGTTGAAGGTTTGAGAAGTTGTCAAAATTTCGTTTGCATTACGCAAGAACATTCGTTTTGACCTATATTTTCCATACATCTATCTGAGAAAGTGCTCACATTATCTTCAGATGATATCGAAAAAAAGCTTCTTGGAGATTCGTCTTGTTTGTCGAAGAATGAATAGCTTGATTGATGAGAACAGAGCTGTTCTTGGACAAATGTACAGGAAAGTAGTTGTCGCGCAAGCAAGCATGTTTTTTATACGCAAAAACCTCTAGCAGCTCCTTTAAAAAAGGATAACTGCAGCATTTGCAAAAAAAAGTTTCTTTTCAGCACGACTATTTTGCTGAGAGTCCTAAACGTTTCGTCGTAGCAGACCCAAGCAAACTTCCACTTGCTTTGGACTCATGCCACCATGCTGAAATTTGGCTGGTGTTATTTTTCAAAGTGAGTAGGTTGGAACTGAAAATAAGCAATGCCTAAAATCGCAGAATTAGACAAATATGACCTTATGGAAGCTATATGTACGTTTTCCAGGTGTCACTCGACCTATAAGGTTGAGGAGATTATTCAAAGTGTGCGCAAGAATCATATAGAGATCTTCAAAATGGTGTTCTATGGCGTGTATCTTGCCGCTTGCGAGGCACATTTGCTGATCCAATTACTCAAAACCTCTAGGGTGAGCTGCGTGCTCATGGTTGAGTGTAAACTCTCCCGCAGTCTGGAAGAGACTTTTCAGCAACACGGACCTTCCAGGGTAAGGTTTCTCTAAAGGTACTCGCTCGAAATGAGGGTGATGAGGTTTTGATTTATAGAGTAGCGGGGGTCCTAAAAAAGCTGCCATCCATGTCTTGCTGCAAAAGGTGAATTCCAGAACAGAAAACCGCTCCAGAAGGTAAAAGTTACAGCTGGCTCCGCCAGCCCTGGATGGTCTGAAGGGGCGAGGCCCAGATTAAGGCTCTTTTGTATTGGGAATTGTCATAAATGCACTCATAATGGTCAGCTAATTCTGGATCTTTCGGTCCACCCTGAAGCCTAACCTCGGATTTGACTGCTCAAATTATAGTGTGGACCCCGGCCAGCTTCCCATAGGTACCGCCGCGGCGCATACGCAACGCGCGCTCGGCCTGACGCTTCTCGTTCATTTATGGGTAAAAAAGCATTTCTACATTATGTAGGAATGAAATAAGAAGTGGAAACCATCAGTCTCAGCTCGAGAAGGGCCTAGGCGAAGAGAACGTTCACAACCCCCACTAGCGCGCAGATATCAGTCAATCTCCTGCATGCTAGTATGAAAGTACCGCTGATTGAGAATTCTAGAAGAGAAAGAGTCGAGGGCTACTTTCGAAACGTTTCCTTCTGTGATCATTCGAAAAAGTTAAAAAGCGTAAGCTAGCGAGCACATTTGTACAATCAGAGTCCCACTGATGCATTACAAAAGAATAAGAAGCAATCATACTTTATAAATCAATTGGTTAGGCACGCCTACTCTGTAATCAGTTTAGAGATTCCACTCAAATATGCTAAAATCTCCGCTACTGAAAAAAAGGGAATTTCTGAGACAAAGGCTGTTAAGACTATTGAGGCTCTTAAAAACCCATCGTAGGAAGTTGTCCTGAGTCGTCTACACCTGAAACAGAGCGTTCACAAACAGAACAAAGCCAGTTTAGAGAAGAAAACATAACAATTTCCATATGAAGCAGAAACGAAAGCGCACTGAAGGCATGCGCTGCGGGAGCGTCGCGCAGGTACCTATGGGAAGCTGGCCGGGGTCCACACTATAACATCAAATACGCATCACCCTCATTTCTGGTGGACTCGCTTCAGTGCCTTCAACTACAAGTCCTTGAATCCATTAGGGTTGTTTCAGACTGCCGCACTGACTGCAGCAGACTGCAGCGCACTGACTGCAGCAGACTGCAGCTGACTGCAGCTGACCGCAATGACCACACTGACCGCACCTGTCGCAGCCTCTTTTCTTAGAAGAAAAAACAACCGCGATTATCAAAACAGCGTGATTCGCGCATAAGAAGATCATAAGTTCCATGAGAATTCTTCTCAGTCAAATTTTGGCGATAGTTTTCTTTGGTATGTTCGTATTTGTTCTAATTCTTCCTATCATTGCATATACCTGTTTTGTAACATTGTAAACCTTGTTTGCTTTTACGTATATATTGTTGTTGTTTGTTTAAAGCACAACTATTTATCCTCTCCGCCTGCAGGCTTCAGCCGCTGCGGTCATTGCGGTCAGTGCGGTCAGCTGCAGTCAGTGCGGCAACACTATGAAACAACCCTTAGAGGTACGATGAGTTAAAGTGTCTAGGTTGGCACTGTTGAGCAGAAACCTATGTAACTGACGGTTCCTTCTTGCAGCCAGTATGGTTTGTTAGAAACAGGCACGAATGCAAATCAAATGGTGGGTACGGGATCGTTGCAGATGATGCAGATGATTCCTGGATTTTTAATTTTTTAATGGTAAGCATATGAGTTCTTGCGATCATTTATGTAAGGCCGTGAGCATACCTTACGCGATTTCAGTCCCTAAGCGATCTGGCAATTTGCCACATGTCTTCGAACTTAATGCTGGCAAATCCCAAATGCGGAGCGTGTATAAGTTCGTAGATTGTTAAAAAGCCCTGTCTTCCGTCTATTCGGAAACTCTTTACGATGAGTTATGAATCATTACAATACTGCCAAATTGCGTTGTGATTAGAATTGCGTTAGGTATGCGCAGGGCCTAAGGAACAAGGAAGGCAGGATAGGTTGCGAATAATCCTGACCCGAATGTCCACCTTTAAGGGATTATAGTTGTTTTCTTAATGAATTCAAGAGAGACTGGATGCAATCCGTATCACCACACTGTGCACGAGGAAATTCCGGGAGCTTATAATTTTGTGGAATGTATATGGTCATAGCAGTTCTGTAAATACACCCATTGTTTTGTGATCTAAAATCTCCATTGGACTTTATCAAAGACCAGTTATTTCTCTCTGCTGTCCGCAGATTAGTGTGCCGGATCTCATCGATCCAGTTCAGGTCCGGATCTACTCCCTAGTGGATGCGATCTGGGCCGCATAGTTTAGGCTATGGGATCTGGACCACTGGACCACGTAGTATAGGCTTCTGCCGGGCGAAGATGCAAAGACTAGGGGCGAAAATGGGTCAAGCCTTAGAATATGAACCTCCGTATCCTTCAAAGAAAGCTGCGAAAAATAACAATCAATAAAGGCGATAACTTAAAAGGAAATTTTGACTATGGCTACTTTCCCACTAAGTCTGCGAGCATGCTCGGTGAAAGAACAATACTAGCTCACAATCAAATACAATGCAAAGAAGAGCTAGGGATTGAATAAAGCATGGATAAGAAAGCTTTCCATCCAGAAGTTTTTTTAGGAACAGGATACGGATATGTGGCGACAGCGTACCCGTAAGTAAGCATCAACATTGTCCTACCTGCTCTGCGAAAGGCAAACCTCATGAACACTTGAAGTTACTTTTGTGAACTATTTGTCGAAAATAAATGGTTTTTATGTACTCCTAGTTGTTAACCTGTAGTTTTCGTATATATTGAAGAATAAACTCTGATTCTCGCTGTAGAACTTGAATAATAACACA